AAAAAAAAAACAAAGAGCAGGACAGTGTGATTTTTGTATGTTACCATTTTTATTTTAAAAGATTATATCATTGCCTGGTATGTATAAAATTGCTCTGGAAGGACTCATAAAAATCTACTTGGTTGCCTCCAAGAAAAGGAAATAGGATGTTAGGGACAGGGTGGGAGGAAAATGACATTTCATTGCATAACGTTTTTACCTTTTGAATTTTGTATTGTGACTATGTAGTGCCTATTCAAAAAATAGCTCAATTAATTTGGGTAATTTTTAAAATGAATACTTTATTTCTTGGCAAAATGTTGCTATGTATTAGAGTTTCATCTTAAAATCTTTCTATATGGTCTCTCTCATACTCATGGCTTTAAGAAAAATTTAAATGCTGAAAACTCCCATATATTTGTGTCCTGTTTTCTGAATTCCAGGCTCCTTTATCTCACCGCCCCTTGAATATCTCACACACATTTCAAATATTGACAGAAGTAAGCTTATTATCCTAACTCTTGCCTTTCCTTCACAAGTCTTCTTTCCAGGCTTCTCTCATCTCAGTAAATGCCATCACCATCAAGCCTGTGCTTAAGCAACCTATCTGAAATTTACTCTGGACACATCTCTTTCTCTCAAACTGCATATCTAAGCCATCACTGAGTCTTGTTGTCCGTCTCATATATGTACGATATATGTGTAAACATTCTTGTCTCTGACTCCAGTGTGACCACTTTAGTCCAAGCCATCACCTCCTCACCAGACCCCACACCTCCCCTCAAAAGTTCTTCTAAAACCACCTAGTTCAAAGCAGATCTTCCTATTATTCTATCACATAAGTCTATTTTTCCTTTATAACTCATTAAATTTACAATTGCATATTCATATTGGTCATTATCTGCATATGTTCATTTTTGCTGGATTATAATCTAAATGAGGGTAGGATTGTGCCCATTTTTTTCAGGTTCCTGTGCCTACAACATAGCACAATGCCTGGATCATGAAATATGATTAATAAATTATTCTCAAATGATTGGATAAGTTAAAGAGTGAATGAGCTCTTCCCATGTACCAGGCATTGTACTAGACATGTTTAGAATTGCCACTTGCAATGGACATTTACCTCATGCACAGACGATTACAAAATGAGTGCAAGAGGATATTTCCATGTGTGTCTAAGGTAGATATGATGAAGTTTGTTTGCTGGAGCAGGGGAGGGGCCTCCACCGAGGGAATGTGTAATTAAAAAATGAAGAACGATTTATTTTTCCCACTTGTAAAATAAGATGTGTGAACTAGGCGATTTGTTATGATTGTAGGATTCACTTCACAGTTTTTACCACAGGCTGCCCTACACCTGACCATGTCCCTAGGTTTTTCTCCTTAGGTATGTAAGGACATAGATGATGTCTGGGTGGTGAAAATAAGCATACTGTTTGCAGGGCGCATGGAGAAGGCCAGTGGTAGATTGTCTTCAGCTCTGCTTGAGTCCATCATGAAGCCCCAGTCCTGGAGACACTCACCCTGCCAGCTCCACCAGCCCAGCATCTCAGGCTGTTTACTGCCCAGTCCCTAACATGCCCAAGATTGTGAGAACGACTTGTTCTTGAAACAAACAAAAAAACAAACTAATAAAGTAAAATAACTGACCAATGGTCTTTATTAAATAACAAGCAGATAGTCTGCATAGATACAGTCACTTGTCTGTTGCATGCTAGTGCTTCCCCCTTCTCTTGTGGAAGTCCACTCCATGTGACAAAGTGCAAGCTAAGCAGCAGCCCATCTGATGCCCTGTCACACCATGAAGATGACTGGCAAGGTACACAGTTCACACGCGAGTCCTCCGTCACAGCACACGCAGCTGAAAACGAACCATTTCAATTCACTGTGGCTTAGGTGAAGACTTAGCAGCTTCATTTAAAATGCCCATATTGTGCCTTCTACACATCTCTCCTAACAATTAAACCAGCTGTTACTCTTCAAAACATGTGTCACTTTCTTTGCATTTGGGTCAAACTCCAACTGTGAAGATCCACTGAAGAAATAGAAAAACCCTGCAAATACAGACAAGGGAAATAGTGAGTTTTTTAAAATAAAGAAATTTGGCAACATTCAAAAGTCAAAATAGTAGATAATTAAAAATAGAAAGTGTGTATAGAGTTTTACTCTGTGCCAGGGACTATGTTAAGCATTTTACAAGATCTTTTTTATATTTTTTTCCATTTATTTATGCAACAGTCTTGTGAGGTAGTATACTAACTCCATTTTACAGATGAGCAAGTTGAGGTTTAGACAGATACAGATGCTTGTTCAAGGTTACTCAACAGTTAGGATAAGCCAACACTCCATGCCTGCTCTGTCCGACAGCAAAGCCAGGTTCTGGGTTATTAGGTTATTCTGCTCCTAATCAGAAAAAAATTCTCTGCTTGTTTGGAAACTATGATTTCTTTTTTTTTTTTTCTTCATAACATCCCTCCTCCCATTTCTCCACAGTACAGCCTCAAGGACATTTCTGGTCCCTGAGAAGCACCAAAGCAACTCTTTCAAACACCAGAGGACCCTTTATTTCTCTGCACACATATTGCTCAGTTTACCTTTCAATAAAGATCATCAGACTCCACTCACCTATCCTTGAGTAAGTAGGTTTCAAAGTTTGGGCACATGAAAAGGTAAGTAATTGCACCTGACGAATGTAGGAAATCAGTGACTGACTCAGGAAAGACAGAGAAAAACTCCTGGGGAATTAGTAGTAGCAGTAGGTTGGGTCAGAGAAGGACACCTGGCCAGTATTAAACTTGGTCACACCATTTGATGAGAATTTTATATGAACATAGTAATCTGAAAGGTAATGGCTCAGGAGAGGAGGAAGTGACACTGAGCATTTTGGTTTTATACATACATAAAGTAGAGAAATTTGTGTGAATTGTGTTTATGATTCTAAGCAACTTATTATATGAAGTAGTCATAGAACTGGTAAAAAAATAGGTGAACTGAAATTTTGTGAAGGGAGGATACCACCGATTGAAAAAAACCCTGTTATTAAAAATGGTTTCAGTTCCCCTCTTCCCTCTGGTACCGTAGAATGTCTCAAGCACCCCATTGCCAACAAATTAAGTATGCACTTACCAAATGCTTCAAAAACAGCATCAACCTTCGAGTCCACCCCTGGAAAGTCTTCTGCTATTTGCTTGGGAAAGCCTGGCTCCATGGACCATCTCCTCTCATCAAATCTGTGCCAAGGAACAGAAACACAGCTCAGCATTGCTTAGAAGCCATGCTACCAAAATTCAGAAATTATGTTAGGTTTAATGTGGAAATCTAGTAAATGTTCCAAGTACTGCAAATAAGTGTCAAGCATTTTTAGGACTACAGAAGTATGGGACTTTAATGGTACTGCAAACTTAGCTCTTAAAACCATATCCCTATCAGGAAGAGGGGGACAACACCCTGCTGTAGCAGATGCTGCTTGTTATTATTTCTTAAGCCTGGACAAAAAGAACCTTAATTTTCTTTCTGTCACAAAGACATGAAGGTGTGAACAGATACACACACACACACACACACACACACACATATATAAAGTGAATGGAATCAATTATCTGAAATAAAATTTCAAGTTCTCTACCATAATTGGCCCTCCCCATCTTGCACAGCTAAATTTTCTGTGGCAGCCTCCTAGGAAAAGAGATTGGGATGAGAAGCTAGGAACAGTTCATCTGTTTTTGGATCTTTGGCTAGATGTTGGATGGTCTCTGCTGACATCTCAAAGTCTGGGCAGACGGCCCAGGAATCAGCCTTTGAGTCCTGGGTTGTATCCATGAAACTGGACTGCTGTTGCTCGTCATCTCATACACAGGCAGAGGTAATGAAAGGGTGAGGTTAAAGGAAGCCCTTGAGAATGACATAGTAACATTAGGCAGACAAAACCATCCCACAGTGAGACAAGGAGCAGAGCTGGAAGACAATGGGAAAGGAATGCTACGTCGTGGCCTGGATTCTCAGGGCATCTTCCCTCAGTTTGTAGAGAAGCCCAGGGCTTGGAATTCAGGAGGGAAGGTGATGGGACTAGAGCAGGGACTTGAAGGATGCGCAGAATTTGAGTAGGTTGAGGAGAGAAGAGGGAGCACCAGGCAGATGGGGCCGCAGCGCAGAAGGATGTAGCAGCCTGTTGCACGTGGGCCTCAAAAATAGGAGAGCTTAAGGATTGCCTGTTATCAGGCGCTGCTGTGTTTTCAAGTAAGCACTTCCCCCGGGGTCTACAGCCCCATCCTTCCTGCTGAGAGGTGAGCAGGGCTAAGGCTGGGGTGGGGGGTTTCCTTTTTGGGGGCAGGGGTGGGGAGGACTGGCCAGTAAGGCTACAGGAACCCTTGACCTTGGTGTTACTAGGGAATTTCCCTAGAGAAAGAAAATACATTCCCTAATTAGGCTCTATATGAAGGCATTCCTAATGCTTCTTACCTCCAGTATTTGTCCTCTACAAAGAAATATGTTTTCTTCTTTTCCTTATCAGAAATGGCTGCATCAATTTTCCTTACAGTTGGAGGAAAACCCAGGGTGTGAATGTCTCTTGGGTAACCTGCTTGTACCTCAGTTCCTCTGATGGCCCAGAATTGATTTCCTGTTTAAAAAATGAATTCAGTTACATTGAATTTATAATAGTTAAGCTTCTTAGTTTCAGGAATACATTTTAGCATCTTTGATTTTCATAGTAAAGAGGAAGATGGCATTTTAGATGTAGTCACCAGCTCATGGCAGGTATTTAACAAAAAATTTGCAGATGGAATGAATAAAGATCAAATGAGGGAATTTACAACTTTGGGCAACTTATATTCCTGTATTCATTTTTTTTCCATCTGTAAGATATAAATAGGGCCGGCCCGGTGGCGCACTGGATAAGTGC